ATTAAAATTTTACTTTCTAAGCTAATTATGATTTTTTTTGTAAAATAAGTTCAGATTTAACATTAACTTAAAAAAAATTTTTTAGAGTTTCTTCCTTTTCTATTGCAAAGCTCCCATATTATCTTGATATTAAAACAAGTCCAGTTAGCATACTAGTAGTCAGAATGGAAATGTTGACGTAACTCGATTTACATATTAATATCCCATTTAACAGTAATTCATGATATAAAGATAAAGCATCTCAAAAGCACTCTCAATAAATGTTTCCTAATACCATATCTAGTATTATTTTATAAACATAGCAGGAGAAAACTACTTATAGATTTTTTAAAATATGATCAAGTGATACATAAATAAAAATAGTTTTATATAGGGAAATGTATTATATTAGTTTCATATTTATCTGCGCTTTGCTAATAGCATGTAAGGTCAGTCTGATGTGACAAAAATAAACATGTTCCTAATCCTCATTAAAGTTTGTGAAATACATAAATGATATAATAATGATACACTTGCCAATCATCTGTGTGAGTGCAACCATTTGCTTGTGCAACAAAATAACTTCACACATAAATCAATCCTTCCAAAAATATTTTGATTTTTTTCTCTTGCGATGTTCTAGAAAAATAATATATTAACTTATATATATATTTGCTCTAAAGAGACAGATTATTTTTATTATATGAGATCTTATTCTGATTGAAATATATTATATAATATTGCCAGGTCATTGTATTAAGTAGATAGATGAGAAATCTATATATGTATTATTCCAACACCTTTCTAAAGTTGAGATTTTTAATACATACCTTACATACCCTTATTCTCGAACACAACATTTTTGGCATAAAAAGCATTGCATATTCTTCTGCTTCGACAGAAAGATGTAAATAAGGAAATTACAAATATTAAAAGGATAGTATAGTGAAATTATTACGTCTTTACATTATTTTTTTACTTTGCTTAACAAGCTTTTTACTAACATTTAACTTTTATTTTATCAAAATATGAAAGAATTCCTTTTAATAAGAGAACTCCTTGATATCATTAGAATTTTCACAGCGCTATTTGTATGAGTAAAGCAGGACGAATGGAAGGACATTCTCAAAAAGGAGGTGAAAAACTTTGAAAATGTTCTGGAGCAAGTATTAGAACAAGTCTTCTCAGAGGATATTGAGCAGATAAAGAAGCTTCGAAGTTTTAGTACCAGAAAAAAATTGGCAAAACGGATAAGACAGAGTTTTTGTATAATAAATATGTGGATATGATGACTTGTTTTTTTAGGTTTTTTAGAAGGCATGTATGCTAGTGAATGGGTTTTATGTCTGCTGTGATATTATCACTTTCCGCATGACAGTAGCTAGTTATTTCTGCCTGAATATTGATTATTGAGCTCATTGCTAGCATTTTTTGATAGTTTATGAAAATGAAAACCTAATCTAATCCCACGAATTGTTATTCCTTTAATTAACAAAATATGTTGAGACTAAGATAAGTTAATTATATTTAAGTTGTAAGTGCCTTCGAAGATTTATGTTCTTTTACTAAAATGAAGGCTCTGGTAGGACTCTGAACTATACTAATAGAACTCACAAATGTAGTACGAACACACAATTAAAATTATATTGTATAGTATAACTCGGTCAATATCAATGCTAGAAAGATGAAATTACTACCATTAGATTCCTCTCGATTAGACGAATCCAATGGTATAAATATCATTAAAATTGCATTACTGGTTATTGAGATAATGGGATATGTAGGATAAGTAAATTTGTAAAAATAAGCAATTTTTGGCAAAGTTTACATATAAACTCTACATAAACTCAAATATGAGTTATATTAGTATAATTTAGGGTCCTGCTCTGTTAATTGATGCAGAGACTTGGCCTGATGATGCAAATACAAATTTGCATTTTTTAAAGCGTGATGTTGGTCAGCTCATAAATGAGAACACTAATTATAAGAAAACTATGTGGGAAAGAATTGAAATGAAGTTAGAACAAGTAAATGTTGAAAGCCTTGATTCGATCACCCAATATGTTCCAGAGTCCTCAAATCTGAACCTTTTACAAAGATGCCCAAATTGTTTTTAAGAAATATTTTCAAAAATATAAGCTGAATCAGAATGATACGATAATGAATATCTGTAAAGAATTCATCCATAATGAAAAAACGAAAATTAATGTGAATGATGAATTGAGTAATGTTAAATATGGGAGCAATATGAAGCTAATATAATACATTTTCTTATATAGAACTATTTTTTTATTTATGTATCATTTTGATCGTATTTTAAAAAATCTATAGATAGTTTTCTCCTGCTATGTTTATAAAATAATACTAGATATGGTATTAAGAAACATTTCTTGAGGGTGCTTTTGAGATGCTTTATCTTTATACCATCAATTACTGTTAGGCGGGATATTAATATGCAAATCAAGTTGCGCCAACATTTCCATTCTGACTACTAGTGTACTAACTAGACTTTTTTTAATATCAAGATAATATTTGGGATTTTGTGCCCATTTTATTATAGTATATCAATTTGGTATATAGCCTTTTTGTTATAATATTTTTCTAGCACGAACAAAGAGCATCAAACCTAATCGGTATAATAATTAATTTTTTTCTCTTCTACCCAAATTCTAGCCATATAAATGGTATGACCATATTGTGAAAGAAATCGATCAACTTTTCTATTATATTTTATTAATTTTCCATTAATATAATAATAAGCCTTACCACAAGAAATATTGCCTAAATATTTACACCTGTCAGGAGTACCATCATTCCTCACCACCTCCTAAACTTGTTTTGCTAAAAATTCAGGTTTCTTCTTGTAATTTCTGTAAGCTTGCTGGATAACTGTTGTATAGAAATTTTCAAAACTATAATTATAGTATTTAGAAATCAAGAACTCCTATGATTGCTTCATTGAACTTCTTGCTTAAGCTATGTTTGCTCATAAGAAATAAAAAAAATCATGTGTACGTGACGATTTGTCACGCTGATCACTTTTGCCAAGAAATAATCACTTTTATCAGGAAAAAATTATGTAAATACTTATACATATTAATTATCTATATATTTTTTCGTACAGAATTAAGATATCATGTTTGTGGTCTAGGACCTTTTGGAGGAAAGGGTCTGGTATAAAATTGTGTTCTATAATCTGAAAAATACTTCAGTTCAGATGCACTTGCATTATGTTGAATTAATGCAAAAGGTTTTGGTAGTAAAGGAGGAGGAACCTTATTTACCTTAGATATGATATTTTCAACAGATAATAGTTGTCATAAAAGTCTGTTGGCTAATTCTTGTCATGATTGTCTTTCAGCCAATTCTTGTTGCAATTGTTTTTTAGCCAATTCTTGTTGAGATCATCTTTCAGTCATCTCTTGCTGTAACTGTTTTTCGATTATTTCTTGACGAGATAGTCTATCAGACAATTGGTGTCTCTTATGCTCAGAATAACTTATATAATTATAAAGTTGATTTTGCAGAATATGATAAGGTCTATATCCTTTATCAATAGAATACCATATATCCAAGTTTAAAGTGCAATGAATTTCTCTACCAGGCATGTCAAGAAACTTTTTTTCCCTAGGAGTATTATCATTTCTAACTACCTTCCAAGCTTGTTTTGCTAATGAAACAGGCCTCTTTCTATAATTTCTATAAGCTCTTTAGATAAGCCAACCACTTCTATCCTCAGTTTAGCTTTGGAGCATTCATTATCCAAATGATATTTCAACAAGTCCTCAGATTTAATCTTATATCCATATCTACGTAATCCACTGAAATACGTCTTTTTTGGTTTTACATCAGTGATCTTTACCAATTTCCAGCAATCGAAGCAAATAGCCAATTGACTTTTATGGATCCTAGGTCTGTAATATTCATCATCTCCTACCTTACCTTTGCCAAATCCTGCATAAAGACAGTACACATGATAAACGCTCCAATATTTCTCAGCTAACAGTGTTTGCACAATACCTCTTACTCGAACAGCCCATTGCTGTGGAGTTTCACCTGATTTAATAATGGATAAATCATTATATAGTTTTTCTGTTTTGATTATTTTTTCAAGATCAGTACCATATCTATAATTTCTCATATATGATACACTGATATACCTCATATCAAATCCAGGACCCTTATCCAGATTGATAGGTTTAGGTACAGTTTTATTATAAACCTCGTCTATAATGATACTAATAATTTCTCTTAGTAAATTAGTGATAATGTACTGATTTATAACGTTTTTAGTGAGTGTTAGCGATTTATAACAGATTGTATATTATATAAAATATCAGATTCACTTTATTCGATTATCCCCTTGTTCAAAGAACTTTGAGATGAAAACAGATTTATAACTGAATTTTTCCCAACGTTATGATTCGGTTAAATTAGATCCGAGTTACTATGACGGCTAAATTATTTTCAGACCATCACTCCGCATGACGTATTATAAAATTTGTATTACATGAGATAGGACACTCCCCTGATGTATCATGGCCGCAAATCACGGGATGATCGGCTCTTTTTTGAAACACAAAAGTTAATCTAAACTATTTTTTTCTGGAATTATACATGGCACCATCACACATGTTAAAAAACACTAGGCCCGATGTGGGTGGATAAAGAATACTTTATTAATTTTGCTTTATTATTTTTTTCATTGATAAGCATACACATTAATTTTTCGATGAGATATTGTACATGACAGTGATAAAAAATAAAATTATCG